TGATTGTATATTCTGTTCTTACACTGATTGATACATTATAATCTTATCTATATTGTCCATGTATCCTTAATATATTATTGTAAATATTTTTTGCCTTAAAATACCACCAAACGTAATAACTCACAAAAACTGGGGTCCCTAAGGAACCGAAGCAAGCCCGTACAATTATTACGTGAAAACAATACTCCATTTTAAACTCAAGCTTTCACTGCGTGGCCCCGCGTCCCAAGTGTTCATACATTCACACGTTCTCAAGTGTAAGAACATCATTAGACTCTCCCTCTCACCCACAATTACTTAGGCCTAATGTGGTCCTTGGAGGCGCCTTTTGTCCCGGCCGCGCCATTTCCAAAAGTGAGCCCTTCAGATTCATCGGTCGTGCGAAAGGTTACACTTCGGCACCAAACAATATGAGCTGTCAAATGTCTGAATCAATAAAATTATAAATACGTTTTGATTTAGATAACGTGATTCTAAAATACACCCACCTTAGTAAACCTGCAGACTAAGCGAATCTCAATTTGTCTAAATTGATTTTCAATTAAATATATTGAAATAACTTTAGGTTTAACGAGCTAGAGCCCCGTTTAACGAATACCTAGGTTTGCTGCTACAGGAAGGCTAATAAAGTGTGTTTTGTAGTAAAATATTAATACTATATTTTAGCTTAAGGTAAATAATGTGCCAAGTTTTATCAAAATATATCCATGAACAATCAAACTACTAAGTTTAACAATATCCTCATAAGAAAAACATTTAAAATTTAATCGTTTTTAAATTTTCTTCTGAACTATTAACCTTACGAAAACGCTTTCGTATAATAAATTATTTGTTTTTTAAAGTCCTATTAATGGTCTAGGGGTAAATGGGGTTATTTTGTGTTTTGAAGGTCAACAATGAGAAACCCCGATTTTTACCCCATAAAACCCCCTTTCCCATAGTTCGACCATGCTGGTTCGCGAACTCTTTCAAGTTTATCCCGCCTTATTTATGGTTATTTGCTGAACTTGCCTGACCTAAAGTCATTTTACCTCTTCTGAAAAAAAACTATATTTTTGAGTCCAGAACTATTAAAGATCGTACTCAACAGAAGCCTAAATCGTTATTATTTGCATCGTGATGGAAATGTTGTTCACTATTGTCATAAGAGACCAATTTCAAGGATTGACAGCATGTTGACAACATATTCGCTAAGCTTGTTCACAAAATTTGGGAGATTTGAGAGGAAGTTCCCCCACGAGTTTTGTTTTGCTCAATGTAAATGTGAGCTAATTGATATTTTGGAAAACGTCAGTTTTTGAGCTATTGTTTCAAGTTGAGGAGATACATTTCTTCCCTTAAAATCGCCTAAATTTTGTGAACGAAGTATAGTAGTGAGAAGAAAGACACTTAAGTGTTTCTCAGTGTTTCTTTTTTTTTGTACCGTCTTTAGAACCGCAAATAGCTTGAAAATGCCAAAATGTGTCCGTTGTAAACCAAAGAACGTGAACAAAAAAGGTATTTGTAAAAAAACCTTCTCCAATTGTAAATTAAATCTATTGAATTCTAATCATTACATAAGAATAACTAAAAGTACGTTATTTTACCGAAGAGATATTTTACACCTCGGCAAAAATTTAACCTTTTATACTAACCAATGTTCTAACCACATTACAATGTTTCAGTGAGGTAGACAATAAATTGTCAATGAACGTGTGAGGTCTACAAAATTTATTGCGCATTACAGAAAACGGTACCGCGCGTCGCAATAACGCTATAAACTTGCGCAGCGAAGGCTCCGTCTGCGGCTTTATCTCAGGCTACATAACTTAGTCTATAAGTGTGGCCAGCTGCGTGGTCGCGTCTGCGTGTATAATTCGGCTGCACACTCTAGCACGCGTGCGGCTCCGACAGATCGTTCTGCTACACGCTCCTTGGTCACAGGAACTAGGGGGATTGAGGAAGTGGGAAGACCAAGTGATTTGTGTTGGAGAATAAATCAGGGTTACAAGTTGTGCGGAATAAGTTGTAAACCCGTAGAAAGTATCTAGTGAATCGGTACAATTGGGACTTGTGTGCTAATTGTGAGGGTTCAAAACTATATTTAATGCATTACTCATTAACTTTTTAAAGATTATGTTCGTTTGGAACACAACTAATTTACAATCAATTAAATTTGATTTGAGATCTACATAATAGAGTAAATACCTACCCCAATCAGGTTAAAATAATCAAAACTGTTCCGTATCCTATTTAAAATCTACTCAAAAACGATCTCGTCTTCTCTTGTTTACAATCTGACTGTGGTTAAACATTCAACTAAAGGATCAGCTGTAAGATTACAATTCATATTTAAACCGTTGTAATGAAAGTTTGTCAGCGAAACCGGACTTTCGAAAGTGAACTCTAGAAATAATTTAAACGCAAGGGGGCAAGGAAGTTACCCTTTATGCTACATATGAATGAAGAATGTACCATTAACAGGGGCGCTGGATCTTTAAAAAAAATTAAAGATAAAAAGTTACAAAAAGTTAATGATAAATTGATAAAAAGATAAATGTGGTGTTTAGTAAAATGACACCACAATCGTGAAAATTGGTTGGGTAGGACAGCTGAAAAATTATGCAGAGAATCCCCCTAATTGTATTAAGAGTATAAATTGAACTGCCCAACGTGTTGTTAAAGATATAATGCTAGTTCTGAGGACATGTAAATTATCTATAATCAAATGAAAACGTAAACTTGTTAAAAGAATTGATGTAAAACCACCATTGTATCATTGTGTAATCTTGGAAGACAATGAATCAAGGCTTTTTGATATGGTGCTGCAGGAAAGATATGATTGATCTTTTAACTTGTTCTACATTTGACATTTCTCTTTTAAATTCTTTTAACAAAGGTTAGACGAGGGCCTCTGTGGGCACAAAATTTGTGTTTGAATAATACCCCACTTTTCTTATCAAAACGTTGTATCACGGCTCATAACATTGTCACGAAGGACACGCCTTTGCGTGATATAAACAATAAAGCTGTCTTATCCGAGTGTTTAGGCTATAAAATCGCCGAGACGAGAGATCACTTAAAGAGCTCTTAGCGAGATGGGCTCAAGTGATCCAAGTGGAAACGATCATCAGATTGGGGACATCAAGCTGATGATAAAGAGATGCATTCTGATGCTCGACTAAACAACTGATTGAAACTCGTGTTGAAATTCGGGCTTGGCGTGAACATACGGTGCTATATAGTTAGTTGAAAATCTTATAATTTAGCATCAGGGGTAAGTGTATTGTTGGCCTTAATATTTATAGTCCCAAATGTGTTCAATACTTCTATAAAACTTAGAGGTCAGACAAACTATTTTTAAATATTTGTATAACGATTTTATTCATCAATAAAGTTATTTCCATTTCTGTTTTCCTCTCGTCAAAGATCGTAGGGGAGATCTTGACTAAAACTACTTGAGTGGATGTCACATTCTTGATTCACATAATTAAATTGAGTTCAGACATTACCTTCACAGAAAAAATGCATTTGACGTATAGAAATATTGAATGAAAATAAGCATATAAACAAATGGCATTGCTGGCCCGAATCTTATACTAATAGCATTACCATGGTTTGGACAGTTCCTTTTAAGCAATGTTAAAATATTGTTTACTTTCGGGCCAGTAACGACGTAGAATCTCAACTCCAGATGTTCAGGCTCTTTACCCAAACTGCAAATTCTACATTGATTATCGTCAAATACGATAGACAGTTGCCACTTTGTTCTGTTTCCATTATTAATTATACATTTTATCCTGAAAATAGGGTTATCATTCTATAAAATCGGATCCTAAAAAATCACATTATTCTCTAATGCTTCCAGAAACGGGATTTAATATCCACCTTATCGTCCTAGGACGCTTGGTTCTAGCCCAGAACCTTTTTACACATTACTCCAGGCTAGTTCGAGAGGGTCGCGAAACATTGGCGATTGGCGGGATTTGAACCTGGGACCTTGGGTTCCAAAGCCTCGGGCTCTACAACTGACCAGCCCCCCCTCACATGCCCAGACATCACATGGGGTTAGATGTTACAATAGTGACATAGTAAGTTTATGTTGTAGCGCAAGAGACCCTTTACATCACCAATGCGATTTTATTGAATTCCAGGTTATTTAATAAGTTTTACCATATTATGTGTTAGATGTGTTGCGATGTTTGTGGTGATATACGTGTACAATTTGGCGTTAGCGTGATATGTGATACGTTGGATGTGACACGCTGCGATGTGATGTTTAAGTGACATCAAATAATTTGATGTGGGGCGATGTGACGTTGTATCAAAGAACCATGCATGGGGCCATGTGTATATGTTGTATACCTCAGCACGTGGCAGTGTTTACAAACATCGTCCCCCTATCAGTGGTGGGGGGAGGGGAACTCTACAGACAACCAGACTAGGCAGTATAACAACGACGAGATTTAAGATTCGGATGTCTGACTTTAGTACTAAAACGCTTTGTTGGCTATCTACTGATTTAACATCAAGTCAATAGACAAGTGATGCTGTATATACTTTTCAAATTCGCAATGTTATACCTTAAACTAGTTTTCAAACTTTTTACCATACTGAATTTATTTAAAACTAATTTTATTTGCCGAGCCAAAAAAGGAACTTTTTTGGTGTATAAACCGAACTAGGTTTTCAATTTTTGTCGAACTGGCTAAAACTTTTTGAATGGAATGTTCACTCATAGTGCATCATGGAAAGGGGTTGAGTTGGTCTAGGGTATAGATCGGAGCTTTGCTCCCCAAAACCTATGGTTCAACTGCCGAAAATCACCAATATTTCACCAACTATTTCACCAATGAATTTCCAACGTAATGTGTGAAACTTTTTCGGGCGAGAGCATTGAGTTTCAATGGAAAGATACAACACAAAAATAGTAGTGTAGTTGTTCGTGGTATTGGGTTTGGTTCAAACATCCTCCATGTCTGCTGAGGAGGCATATTCTAATGTCCTTGGTCATGTTCCAGGATGGCCCAGGTGGAGACCCCCGGAGTACAGCGCGGGGTGGCGGGTGTTGGAAGGATACGCAGGAAAGGCACCCCCATCCCCGTCCTGCCTCCCAGGGTTCCCTCGCCCATGCCGCCCCCAAACACTAGGTAAGTCCTTAAGCATCCTTAAGAACCTTAAAACAATTTTTTTCCCTAGAAAAGTTTGTAATGAAAATATTATATCACTACTAGCTGACCCGGCGAACTTCGTATCGCCTAAGTTATAGGTTTCCCCTAAGACAGACCGATGGAAAGAAAGTACCGTTACGTTTAATTTTCAAGATGATCTCGTTCGCATCGCTCAATCACGTCCTGGTTGAAGTTCGTTCGCTACGCTCACTCACCTTTGGGTTGGAGCTCGTTCGCTACGCTCACTCACCTTTAGGTTGGAGCTCGTTCGCTGCGCTCACTTGCCTTCAGGTTAGCTCGTTCGCTTCGCTAACTCGCCTCCAGGTTGAAGTTCGTTCGCTACGCTCACTCACCTTTTGGTTGCAAATTAGCTGTTGTCATAAATGTAAAAGAAATAATAGTGCTGCACCCTGTTGGTTTTCCTTGTAACTTTAATGCTATTGAACATCATAGAACAGAACCAACTTGTTTAATTGAAACAGCTGTTAAGATTCATTAATTCCATTTCTCATAAGGTTAACATGGGAAACCCCAGAGCCACTGGGGCGAAGCCCTTTTAAGAATTTCGAAACGGGAAATAGTTTACGTCCGATTCGCATACCTACAGAATTTACACACCAAATTTCATAACGATCGGTGAAGTCGTTCCGGAGGAGTTTGCAGACAAACACTGTGACACGAGAATTTTATATATTAGATATATAAATGCGAAATTCCGATCAACGCACAGGACAAACCATAGCACCTAGAAGAATGATATTTTGCATACATATTCCTCTCGTAGCGTAAGCAGACAATAAGAAGCGATTTTACAAAATTCCCAATGGGCCCCACCCCACAGAAGGTCAAAGTTAGCATGGAGTTCGTATAGAAAGAATAATTTGTTTTGGGTTTTTGTTTACATTATCGCAGATGAGAACTATTTGAAAATACAGTAGTTGTCTGCAATTTATTTAATCATCAGCTGTTATAATAAAAATTAAGTTAACTAAGGTTAATTCGGACCATATAAATCATAGTAGTTGTGAAATTAACGTAATTTATTGTGGCACAATATAATTTATCACAAATTTCAACCAATTTGAAAGTTTCCGTAGCGAAGCAAGGGTATTCCGTTAGTCACACACAGTATATAGAATGTTTATACTTTTTCTAGGTGAGTTTTAAACACAAGTTTCTGGTCCACCGCTTAAACTGGTACATTTTAGTTGATTCGGAGGATCTTGACTAAAACTACTTGCGTGGATGTCCCATTCTTGATTCACATAATTAATTATTGAGTTCAGACAATTCCTTCACAGAAAAAATGAATTTGGCGTTTAGAAACAGTGAATGAAAATAAACATGAAGAAATGACGTTGCTGGTCCGAATCCTATACTAATAGCATTGACATGGTTTGGACAGTTTATTTTAAGCAATGTTAAATAATGTTTACTTTCGGGCCAGTAACGCCATTTGTTTATTTTTATATTCCATACCGGTTCTGTTTAAGTATTCTTGTGTTCTATGCATATTCTGTACAAGTGTACACGCCCGATAATTCTTGCATGCTTTTGAATCGGTTTGAATATCTAGTTAATTTGTGGGATCATAACCAACATATTTTCATGCCCTGGTCCTACTTTTAACATACATTTTTATCATTATATAATGCTCCAATCAAATCTTGTTTTTTTTAATACATGAACTGTGTAATACAGGCAGGTATGTAAGGTATCGTCGTAATATAAATTAGTCACTGTTATATATCAAGAATGAACATAGATCTCAAGATTTCTCTCTTAAATCATGGTATTTTCTTCATTTGTGCTCCATTTCATAGATACCTCCTGAATTTTTCTATTATTTTTGTTTTGTGTGTTTAGAAGTGCCAAAATATGGATATGTTGAGACTTAAAGCAATTATTACTAAACTGGAAATATTCCAAATATTTTTATCTCATTATGAAGTAATATTTACCAGTTATTTCTTACCATCGGTTGTCGTTTTTTTCTCTCACAATTTATATTTTTAATAATTATTTGTTAATTATGCTAAGCTTTTAGAAATTCAAACTAAACAAAAACTGCTGGAATGACATCGCTGTATGGAATTGAAGCTCTTTTCACGTGGTAAAACAGCTCTGAAATAGAACTAAGTGGGATAAAAGGTAATGAACGAGGTGTGTAATGAAGCCAATTGAGTTATTGGGAACGTAGAGAATTCGGGGAGCGACGGTGCGTTATAATAGGCTTGGGTTTATATTTAGCTGTTTGACTTTTACACCAGATTTTCCCGCGATTTATTATTAAAATTCCCATCGTGTTTATTAGCATTAAATATAAAACAGTAAGCATAGATTTTAGTTTTCATTTCACAGGTAGGCATGATTTCAGGAATAGAGGAATTTACAGTTAGTTTAATGTACGACTGATGAATCTAAACGTAACTGTTGTTCTTTTTAGCGAATTTCCCTATAGGGAAGTAGCTATTACCGTAGGTCTCATGGTAAGACCTAGGCCCGGGACCGATTTACTTTTTCATTTTTATGTCCCCAGAGACCAAAAACACCTTTCGTTCAATTTTTTATATATGTATATATATATATACATATATATATATATATCTACATATATATGTCTCCATCCGCACGATAACTTGAGTAATTTTTGTCCGATTTTGATAAAATTTGGTATGAAGGTGTAAGGCGGAATAAACTTGAACGAGTTCGGGAACCAGCATGATCGGACTATAAAAACGGGGGTTTACGGGGAGTTTTATGGGGTAAAATAGGGGTTTCCCATTTTTAACCCAAAAAAAATAAAATTTAGCATTTTCTTTCCAAACTATTTTGTAGAGCTTAAAAAACAAATAATTTAGTATATTGAAGTGTTATTATGCGCCTAATGGTTACGGAGAAAATTAAAAAAAAATTTAATTTTAAATTCCCATGTTATTCTTATGGAGAACAAGTAAACTGTTTTAGTTTGCTTGTTTATGAACATATTTTGATCAAATTTGGAAAATGTTTTTATTTCTTACTAACTATTAACATAAAAAAAACAGTTTTGCCCTACCTGATGCAGCAAACCTAAGTACTTGTTAAACTAATTCTATTTAAATAGGAAATAAATGTTATATTTTTAAGTAGACATTTTAGTGTAAATCCAATCAGGCAAATGGAAATTCGCTTAGTCTGCAGGTTTGCTCCGGCGGGGGTATTAATGTCTTGATCCTAGTCTGCCCGACCTTGTTACTATCCAACATTGACGTTTCATTAAAAATCTTCATGGGTTTACCAACCCAATAACAAATAACACATGGATGTAGATCGTTCCCACTCGTATCACTGCCAGCAGCTACACTACCTAATAACTTGGGTTATTTCAAGCGACCGTAATTTCCAAGTGTTTAGCCTAGAAACGCCGTGTTCCTGTCGGCGCCAGCGTTCATTAGGAAGTGTAAAGTGGAGTGAACCAGACCGACCCACGGGTCTGAGAGTTGACATAATGGAACCAAACAGAGCAACTCAAACAACAACAACGGTTATTCTGAGATCTGAGAGGTGCCGCGGACGCTGATCTGGGTGAATGGTAGTGACAGGGGTATATATAGCAACCCTGCTGTCAGTGGTTTAGCTTCTGGGTTGTTCGTTTAGAGGGGCTGGAGTTGTTGGTGTTGGGTGGCTGTGTTGTTGAGAATCTTGGGGAGAATTCTGGTAGAGCGTGGGTTTTCGGCCCCAGATATCCCGGGTTCAAATCCCGCCAATCTCCAATAGATTTTAACTATGAGATAATTATGTTACCCTCTCGGCTTTAAGGCTGAGGTAATGTGCATATCAATTCCGCCTAGAGCATAGCTTACTAGGTTGTGGAGGTTCGAAGAAATGGCCAAGAAGGTACTACGAGGAGTATATCTGTGGGTTCAAGATTCAAGTTAATACATGTAGCTTTGGATCAATTTTTGTACATGGAGCTTCAGTTAGTATGTTTGGTAGGCTAGAAAATGTAGAAGCTATTATTCTAAATTTTAGCTGTTTGTTAAACTATAATGAATCTGGTTTTGGGTGGCTAACTATTGTATTGTTGTACGTTGGAGAGAGTTTTTTAAAGGGTGATTTGAGGTTCACTTACCTAAATCTAAAAGTCTACTTTGGATCGTTATTCAGGTTAAAGTATATTTAGGTAGTCTGAGGTTCAAAAAACGTATATTAAGGCGGATCTTTTTAAAATCCATTTCCGAAACAGGTAAGATATTATACTCGCATCGATTGTATACTTGCCAGACAAAGATCTTCGCAGTACAGTATTGGAGAAAGAATTCTGCGTAGAAAGTTAATACCATTACTTCTGCATCACCAGTTTTCACTTAAACGCTACTTTACTTGTGTGGTTCATTGTAGACAGAAATGGAAGCTTTTTCTGAAGATACACAAAACTGTGTTACTAAAAATACTCATGTTTGTTTTCAAACGTCTTAGAAACGTAAGACACGTCATTTCAATCGTTAGCGAAATTATTCATAGCTAATGCCTTAGTTAATAGGTTAAAATCTGTGTCCCTACCCCTATAATCTCTTGTTTTGAAGTGTCTATGAGCCATGATATTGTTGGTGCAAATTTGTTAGTGCTTTTACTTATAGTGTAACTGTACTTGTAATGTACTTACTTAGTAATCGCACAGAATTTGTATATCTAAAATTGCTCCGATCATTTTAGTAAATAAAGATTTGATATTTTGATTTAAAAGTGACTACTCAAGGTTTTCGTCGCCGGATCCATATATTATTTCTTTCCAGCTATAGAATATTTAATTACCAGGCAATAATATTGTAACCTTAAACCAACGCAACATACAATAACCATCTCTTCCTTGTCGACTTTGGTAACGTAATTTTTGTTTTAAAATCTGATGATTGTTATGATGTGTTTTCATGAACGAATACGTTTGAATGAACGATAGC